TGCCTGTGCATGCCGATCTCTGTGTTAGGAAGATATCTGAGTGACTTATACCCTAGAGAGTCCTGCCATATCTGCTTATGACCGATCCATACTTCCAGATTTCCTTGAAACAGTTCAGCCCTTGTCTGTTGCAGCCCATCCCAGAGGGTAACCCTGCTCTCAGCAATCCTAGGTTGATGCTGATGTCAGTTATCAGTGATGTTCCCTGCTCAAGCCAGACCTGGTGCCTGGTAGGAAACTGCACTTGGGGACAATTGAGTGGCTGGGTAGAAAGAGGGGTTGTGGCAGTAAGTGATGAGGCTGAACAATAACTGCAAGATCAGCCCCTCAGTTGGGGAATTAGGCCACAATGAGACTGGAAAAAGCAAGTGTAGTGCAGTAATTATTATATTTAAAAGCCAAACTTAACTGCACAGGAAATAAAATCATTAATTCCTCCTTTTGTTTTAGAGGCCATGTTTCTTCACTGCTATGACTCTTGCTGTCCAGCTACCAGAGAGACTTTGAGACCCACCTCTTTCCAGACTCGCCTTGGGAGATATCATTCTTCAGGGAGCATCAGGGGAAGCCATTTCTCATAGCCCCTTGCCCTAGTCCACATCCCATTAAGCTCCTCTGGTTTGTTTTTTAGGACCTGCTGACATCACTTTTTACCTGCTGTCATCCAGCAGCAGGGTTGTAGCTGTGAACTTGCTCAGCAAGGTCAGGAACCCAGTGCCATTTCTTCCCTTCAACAGAGGCAGCACATGCTATGTGAAACTACTGTTTTAATTCTTATTATTGCAATGAGATGACCTCTGTATTTATATAATTTCCCTGCAGAATAATGTACTTGTTCTGCTCACTTCTCTGAGCAAAGCTTTGCGCAGACAAGAGAGAAGGGTAGGAACTCTGCTTAGTGTGACTTTCACAAAGTTAGTCCTAATGAGAGCCCTTTGGCTGTGCAAGAGCAGGGAAGAGACAACTTGTAGGGAAAACATCCCTCTTTGAAGATACAAACCTCTTTGAAGAAGTCTTCTTTAATGGTTTAATTTTAATATCCGTGTTTACCAATTCTTGGTTCCAGTTAGGGAATCAGGGGATATTTTCTGATGACTTCTCTAGCTTTAAAAAGAAAAGTTCAGGGATAACTATGCAATTAACTGTGACTTATGCATGTCTGTATAGCAACAGCAAACCTTCTGAGGAAGAAATTAAATTTCTCCCCAAAGGAGAGTGATTGCATAGATGACTTATTCAAATGTGTAGATAAATTGCTTTGACATGTTTTGCAGGAAGGAACAGAGGCACATCAGTATCGAAATAGCTCTAGGTACCACAAATCTATTCACAGGTAATTGGATTACCTCATGTGTCTGGTACCAAAAAAGGGGCTGAAAAAGTGATCCCCGAATGATGGAACAGATTTACACTCAATGTGATCTCTCCGCATTCAGTAGCACTGTGCTGCACAAAAGAAACACCCAGCTACTGAGGGGAGGGGAGTGACAGCAATGACCATCAACAGGAGCTACCCTTCCAGCCATGCGATGGTTTTTCTGCTCCATCCAGACCACTCACTCAGTGCAGGAGCAAAGGGGACAACTCCCATTTAGGCCAAACAGAGTGTAAATCTCCTAAAAGCTGCTCTGATTTGCAACAAATTGACTCCAGTGTCAAAGTTTTGTATAGTTGACAGATCCCACCCAGAACCATGGCACCTGCAGGAACCTTCAGTGTGTTGGAGGTGTTGTTTACTATGGTGCAGACTTGTGGAACGCCCAATGGATGCCCGGAGGCTGAAAATCCTCTACTGATGGCTGTGTGCATTCTTGATGCAGTCAGGACACTTTGGCTACCATGTCTAGTTACTAGTGTCTATCTTCACCTTTCTGCCTAAAGGCTTCTCTGATATTTTCATTAGTTAACGATATTCCTACCTTACTGCCTAAAGGCTACTCAGACATTTCCATCTACATTTTACTATTTCATCTCTTCTGCCTCCACAAACTTGGGAGATCTGGCATTGGCAGATGTGGAATTGTCATGTTCAATCAGACCCAAGGTCCATCTAGGCTCAGATTCCATCTTTAATTATGGCTGACATCAGGTTTTCAGGAGAGGCAGTAGGAATCTTTTACCTATGGGAACTGTGGGTGAGGTGAGAGATCCTGTTTGCTAGCAGTCAGGCCTGGAGAGGGTGATTTAGCATTCTTTAAAAACATGTTTGTCACCACTGGTTGTGGCCATCCTGGATAGTTTAATATCCATATGCTACCAAATCTTACTTTAAGCTGTATGTATTTCCTGATTCTGCTTTTTCTTTCTGTCACTGATACTGAAGTACGTGAATACTGGCCTTGCTGTTTTCTTCATGGGCTGGTAGAAGCTGAAAAATCACCATGTGTTTCAGGACACAGCCAACAAGCTTGTGCGTGTGTGTGTGTAAGAAATTCAGCTCCGGTTTTTAAAAATAATGAATGCCATTCACACCACTGGGGTCTGTTGATGGCTCACTGCTCTGCTTCATGCAAGAAAAGTGGAATAGCAGCCCTTGTTCCCTTCTGCTACCAGCCCCGTACCTCCACCCACAGGGAGCAGCCTGGTTAACTACTGACACCAGCTCTTAGGTGAGGTAAACCACTGTGAACCCTTTGCCAGAGGCATGGAAAAACCCATCCAGACACCTTGTTTGATCTTATTTGTACAAACAAGAGGAGGGCTTGTGCTCCCTGCCTTCTCAGCCTTGCTTCTGAGCAAGAAGAGGAGGATGAAGATGGAGGGAGGAGGGAGCACAGAAAGAGATTACACGTGTTCAACTGAAGCGTAACATTTACTCATATTCTGCTTTGATACTACAGTCCTGTTGTGCTGTTTTCTCCCCCTTTTCATTAATTCAGAGCTAAAGCCAGAACTGCGGTTTCAGTGACAAAATCACTGGCTTGTCTCACACGTGGCAAGTGCCTGCCTTTTATTTCTGCCATCTTTCCCTGTCAGAGCTCCCTCTGTAGCAGATATCCTTGGGGCACAGGGACAGAGGGCCTTGTTGATGCTGCACCTGCTTGAGTGCCTGGGGACTATGCTGCACCTATTGTTATTTAATAACTTGCAGTGGAAATTGTGACTTACCCTGCTGCAAGTGCATGGCATGCCACAGAGAGTATCAAATTGCTGAGTGAGCACCTAGGTACTCCCACCCAGTGGAAAAAAATCTGGAAGGAAATGTGCCATCCTTTTCAGGCACAGTTTGGGCCAAGGCTGGTCATTTTGTTTTGGTCTGTGTGTCCTAGGGCAATCCGAGCCTCAGGTTCTGCTTGCAAAGTGAATTAATTCAGGCCTTGACTGACCTACTAGCCCCAACGATGATGTGAATTGTGGTTAAGGTCTCCCACAGTGAGGTCCTTCCTGCTTCTGCTCCTCCCCTCTTGTACAAAGCCAAAACAGTGGCACCTTTGCATGTCACAGCCAAGAAAAAAAACTACAAACCCTGTGTAGTTCAGAGCTCAAAGTGACTGTTGTGCAAGCTCTCCCACGGCTGCACCTTCATTCTCACTGTGCTGCTGTCATCTGCCCCACAGCTCCCTCCTGAAGTCAGGGTGGGCACACAGGGGAAATACTGTCATCACTTCAGTCATAAGGTGGATTTAGATAGCAGGGTAAATGTTGTAGGACTGGAAAGACAGAGTATTTTGGTACAGAGGGAGAGTGAGCGCAAGAAGTGTTTTCACAGGCTGCCAAGTGCTGAATCATGGCTGTGGATGTACCTGATAAAAGCACCTGGAGATCTCCCACAGCCTGTGAGTGCCCCCCGCACACGCACACACACACACACACACACACACATATATGCACATGGACACATCTGGACACAGCCACCCCGTGCCTGCTTGTTCTGCCTTTCAGCTCACCAACGGTAGAGCTGGCAGCATAGGAACAGAGTGAAAAGCCACAGATGCAATGGTTATGCCTTTGTACCAAAGGCTGGAGAATGGCATTTCTCTCCAAGAGCATCCCAGAACACCATCTCCTGAAGCAAGTAAGCTCCATGTCCATGATGGGATAGCATCTTTGGGAAGAGACCTTTCTGTACTCCAATATCTTCCCGGTGCACATGCTAGATGTTTTTCTTAGGGGAATTGGTCCGTGTGTCCCTGTTCAAACGTCATTTCTCCCCCAGTCATGTAGCATGTGGTGTGGTGTCAGACACTCTTCAACCCCACAGAGGTGGCATTTCAGCACTCTTTCACTGGCTTGCTTTGGTTTGACAGGTGACATGGAAAGGTAAACTGCTATGATGATGGCAGTGATAGATCTTAGCTTTGCCTGGAAGTTAAAGTCAGCCACTCTCTGAGGCAGCTAGAAACTGTCTATTAGAAAGGAAGACATAAGAAGGTATCAGGTTGAAAAACTGCTAGATGGCTCAGCCAGGTGTCAGTGGCACAAGGTCACAAAGATATTCCTCCCCCAGGTACAAGAGGAGAAAGAAAATGGGACAGATGTTGGTCACATTGCTTCATGAGTGACCAGAAGGCGTTCAGTGACTTTGCTGGTGACTGAGGCAGCAGAGCCTGTGCAGACCAGAGTCCTGCTTGGTGGTGCAGTCACAGGGCTGGATTAAATGGCTTCCCTTTTTATTATTATTATTATTAGGGACTTTATTGTATTTAAAATAATCATCCCAGATAAGTGAAAAGTCAGTAAGTGACCTCAGGCTGCACTCTGCTTTGCAATAGCTGAGCTGTGGATAATTACAAGATTACCCCGGGGGCCTGCTCCTTTAGTCAGATGGGTTTGAAAAGCCAAAGCTTCCTGACGTAGTGAGATGACTTTTTCAGAGACAGAAGATTTGGTTCAGTCCTGCCTTGCTATTACCCCTGCAGTCTGGTCATACGAAGATCTATGTGTTAGTGGGAGGAAGGGAGGACAGCAAGGACACTGTCAAGTGTTACTGGCTGCAATGAGGCTTGGAGCTGCAAAGTTTCTGCTAGTTCAGGTTTCAAAGTATCTTTTATAAAAACGGCTATAAATAAACCAATAATTTATTCATACTGAAACAGCACATGGTAAGATAATTAAGATCTCCAAAGAGAGAGAGGCTGAGATCATGATAAAAGGGGGAAAAAATGAGGAAAAGATCCAAGAACGAGATCTCAAACAGCAGATGAAAGAGAATTCCATCAGTCATCATAAGCTGTTATTAACAATAAAACACCTCCCCCTTCTTCTGTCCTCCAGAAAGTTCATTCCACTCCCTGATGTTTTCTGATGTTTTCTGGTCCTGAGCTTTCATGAGTTTTCCTCCCGTCGTGGCGTCCTCTCTGAGCGGTGCCCGCGTGGAGCAGACATGCCTGCCCGCTCGCGCCGCCGTGCCCTGCCGTGGCTTCCCCACGGCGCGGCGCTTGCCGGGGCACAGGGCGGGACGGCAGAGCCCGGCCCCCCCGGCACCCACCCCCGGCACCCACCCCCGGCACCCACCCCCCCGGCACCCATCCCCCCGGCACCCACCCCCGGCACCCATCCCCCCGGCACCCACCCCCCCGGCACCCACCCCCGGCACCCACCCCCCCGGCACCCACCCCCCCGGCACCCACCCCCGGCACCCACCCCCCCGGCACCCACCCCCGGCACCCACCCCCGGCACCCACCCCCGGCACCCATCCCCTCGGCACCCACCCCCGGCACCCACCCCCCCGGCACCCACCCCCCCGGCACCCACCCCCGGCACCCACCCCCGGCACCCACCCCCGGCACCCATCCCCTCGGCACCCACCCCCGGCACCCACCCCCCCGGCACCCATCCCCCCGGCACCCACCCCCGGCACCCATCCCCCCGGCACCCACCCCCCCGGCACCCACCCCCGGCACCCACCCCCCCGGCACCCACCCCCCCGGCACCCACCCGCCAGCACCCACCCCCGGCACCCACCCCCGGCACCCACCCCCCCGGCACCCACGCCCCCGGCACCCACCCTCGGCACCCAGCCCCCCGGCACCCACCCTCGGCACCCATCCCCCCGGCACCCACCCCCGGCACCCATCCCCCCGGCACTCACCCCCGGCACCCATCCCCCCGGCACTCACCCCCGGCACCCACCCGCCAGCACCCACCCCCGGCACCCACCCCCCCGGCACCCACGCCCCCGGCACCCACGCCCCCGGCACCCACCCTCGGCACCCAGCCCCCCGGCACCCACCCTCGGCACCCATCCCCCCGGCACCCACCCCCGGCACCCATCCCCCCGGCACTCACCCCCGGCACCCATCCCCCCGGCACTCACCCCCGGCACCCACCCGCCAGCACCCACCCCCGGCACCCACCCCCCCGGCACCCACGCCCCCGGCACCCACGCCCCCGGCACCCACCCTCGGCACCCAGCCCCCCGGCACCCACCCTCGGCACCCATCCCCCCGGCACCCACCCCCGGCACCCATCCCCCCGGCACTCACCCCCGGCACCCATCCCCCCGGCACTCACCCCCGGCACCCACCCGCCAGCACCCACCCCCGGCACCCACGCCCCCGCCGCTCCCGTCGCACCACCGGTTCCCAAAGCTGCTGCGCTTCTTTCGCTGGAGCCGTAAGCGAAGCCCAGGCGCTGTGCCCTGCTGTCCGGAGCCTCTGCTCGTGGCGGCAGCACACAGCCGCCCCCCCGGGAGGGCCGGCGTGGGGCCCCGCCAGCAGCCCTGCTCCACGGGAGGGCACTCTCGTTCCACGCAAACTGAGCAGCGGGAGCATTTATCTTTCTTTTAAAAAGGCAGCTTAGCTATGACAGGTAATTTGGCACATTTCTAGTTGAAATGTGCCAAATGATTTGGCAGATATTTCGCGTACATCTGAAAATAGGAGCACCTGCTGCTGGCCCACAGGGAGGCTGGGGATGGGGGGGATTTTATTAGTTGCTAATTACAGCAGGCCCTGTAACAAAACTCTCGCATTGGATGTGCCAGCCGGCCCCTGCAAAGGCCAGCCCGTCTTCCCAAAAACATACACAGCCACTCACTTTAAAACAATTTTCTCCCAGGCACTGATAAATTTTCATCCATCTTGGGCGACTCCATCACCTTGTGATGATGAGGGCCGTGACTGATGCAGTTTGTCAACCACCCCGCGTGGCTGTGTTTGCACAACTGAGTCGTGTTGTGGCAGATACAGATGGATCCGATGCACTGGGGATAGAGGAACTTTCTGAAAACTCTATCTCATGCTCCAGGAATATCTCTTTACCTTTTATGGGCCCCCAAAGGGTCTGCTGAAGCTTAAGCTGAAGATAGAGAAGGATCCTGTCGCTAACAAAAACTTCATTAAAATATGTGCAGGGATAATATAAAAGAATTTATGAGAGGACTTAATTGTGAGCATAGCAGGCTTCTGTAATTAAACCAATTGATTGCCCAGAATTCAGTTTAGGCAAGATTTTCAGAATAGGAAAAGAACCAGAGAGGTTTTGGAGAGGTTGAAATAAGTAATAGTAACATGAAATATATCTAAAGTATGAATTAAAATTATGCATTGAAATCTCTTTTTATATGCCCATTTTCCTGATCAAGCAAACTTTTTGGTTTGAAAAATCAATTAAAAGTAGAACTTAACGCAGACATGTGAATAATCACTTTGGCAACTGTAATTATGTATACTGACAGAAAATAGTATCAGTATCAAGCCAAACTCAGGACAGAATATGAACACAATAACATTTGATGGAGCAATGCAGGATTTGCTCCTTTCTTCCTGTATACAAACCTACTGGACAGACTGATGGCCAAAACTGTATTATGTTTTTAACCTAACTAACTGAACTTCCACATTTCTTGATTTGAATCATAGCTGTAGCTCTATCTTAGGATCCTTTTAACTTCATGAATGGTCTGGAGGTACATTCAGTTTTCTCATAGCTCCTATCAATGCCACCTTTAACAAACTCTAATGTCTACTTTTAGTTATAAGTACTTATTAGAAACCAAACCGAACCCAAACATCAGCTGAAAAGAACACGGGGGGAAAAGGTGAGCAACAATACCAAGCACTGTGGATGTGACTGTCCGTCATGAACTTCCCATGCTCACATATGGGGCCACAGGAAGGAGAGAGTCCCCGGGTGCAGCAGGCTGTGCAGAGTCCAGACCCTGCAGTACCAAACTGGGGTATTACTTATGCTCAAAGATCAACCAGGATCACTTCCAATAGCATCCCTTGTATTTTCATGACACATCTGCTCTTTATAAATTATGTGCTGACCCGAAATGCCTTCTGTGAATGTCTACAGAAGAAATCGAAGAAAAATTAAGAATTCCATTAAAGCAAGCATGCATGCAAAATCAAATGATGCATGTTTGCTCATTTAAAACATTCTTCCATCCATTGGCAGTGATAAAGTCCTGTTCCAGCAAAGTCTTTGGAACACACTTAGCTCTTGGCCCAGCACAAACTGCACCTTGTATCCTGGGATAAAAAGGGATATACTGGACATCTCTGGCTGCTCTGGGTGTTGGAGTTGGCACCGGGGGTGCCCACCACTCCCAGGCATCAGGCATTTCCCTGGGGAGGGGGCTGGACCAGGGACGGGATGGGCAGACATGGTAAGGGCTGGCAGTGCACTGCTGGCCCTGACAAAGCCTAATAATTTTTCTCTTGTTGTTTCCCCCCTTCACTCTCCCTTTACCCAGAGAGCACTGGAAATCTAGGCTTATAAATCTTTCAAATTGTGCAAGAAACAAGGTGCAATTTCAGGCTGTAACAATTTAAAATGATAAATGCCACTCATTAGAAACTCTGTAACTCTTTTTAATAGTTTGAAAGGTTAAAAATAAGGTATTTGATGCTATCTACATGGAAAGAGGTATTTCCTTCATTATTTCTACAAGCGGATTTAGAGTTTCTGGAGCGTCATGCCAGGCAAATGCCTTGGGCCAGCCACGGAGGAGATCAATCGCAGCTCTGGCCACAGGAGCTGCATCTCCAGTTTGTCCAACAAAAGGTCCCTCTCTTGGTGCAAAGGGGTTGCTTGGAGGAATATGTGAAAAGAAGTTCATTTTTAGTTCAATAATAGGCTGCTAAAAAGATGCCAACTATGTATATCCAGTCAGAGTTAGGATCACAGGCTTATTTAATACGGCAGATGAAAAGAAGCAGTCTGCAGGCAGCAAAAAATTCCCCTTGCTCTTGAGGTCATCCATATCTGAGTTGGAGTTCTGAGGGGGACAGAACTCATTTCTGAAGCCCAAAGCACCAAAATTTGGATTGCTTGTCCACTTTCATCTTGGGAACAACCTGGCAATTACTCTTCACGCTCTACCTCTCCTGTAGGTAAGATAGAAACTAAACTGTAATTGTAGTAGGCAGCATGTGGCAAGAAAAGACAGAGATTGAGGTTATGTTGTCGCATGCAATAACATATGCTTTGGATAGCTGTGTGCTGTAAGAATACAGTCCCAATTTAAAAAAAAAAAAAAAAAAAAAAAAAAAAAAGAAGTTTGAGAGTAGGATGTAAAGAATAGCCCCACAGGCAGAGGAGGACTGTCAGATACCCACCACTAACAGAGCACTCCCTGATGTACAATATAATGTAATTCATATCTTTCTCCTTGTATTATGGAGGAGGAAATTACTGTTTTTACAGTTGTGGACCTGGAATAAACATGAGCTGAATTATTGCTGCTCTATACTATTAGGAAAGGAATTTCAAACCCCATTTTACAGTATTTTCAGTCTCTTCACCTAATGTGAAGGAATTTTTCTTCATTTTATATCTCACTTAGCATTGAGGAGCTGGTGTTAGTGATTGCACTAATGAGAAGGGAGAGGACAGCAGAGGTGCAACACACTTGCTCAGCTTTTTAATGATGATAATGTGTGTTTTCCCTGAAGTGCCCCAACCCATTAGGGTACCCAGAGCCCCTCTTTCATCCACTAGGAAGCCCTCAAACTCCTTTCTCCTTTTGAAGTTGAGCTGTACCGATAGATTGATTCAAAAAAGATCCAATCTCCATCATGACCTGAGACAGTGCTACTCTATGAGTCTGAAAGAAAGCAGTACTCATGGAAAATGCAGCTGTGACCAGTATCTGGCAGAGATCCCTCATCCAGTGCAGGAAAATCCTCTAAGTTGCTTTGAACTTGGTTTCCACATGATAACTATATCCAACACCCATAAAAATCCATAGGAGTTTGAGTTGATGGGAATATGACCAAATCCTCGGGCAACTGCACTGGGTTTGAATTCTTGGTAATTTATGATAGAGTGTGTATACATCAGTTACAATATATTTCTCTTTGAATATATTCTGTTTATTCTGTTTTATTTTTATTTCAGGTTTTCATAATGAACACAAGATGATAAACATTTGTGGGGAGCCTGAATGGCAGGGCTATAAATATTCCTACTGTTCAGTTTTAAACAGTTGTTTTCACTCCACTTGGGAGACAGTGAATTAGTGAAAATTATATCTTTATAACTATAGCATCTGAACAGGACATGAGATTATGACCTTGAGGAGGTCACAAGGATTGGCTCAACTGCACCATTTTACTCATTCCCTCTGCATTCTCTCTGAGTCAGAATTATACATTTTATTATTATTTTCCTTTTTGATAAAATTTGATAACAAAATAGTTAGAGAATAGTGCCTGCTGGAGTTTCATAACTATTTTAATTTTCCTTCTTAGGATAAAGAGTGAAAAGTGTCATTGAATTAATCCATTCTTGAGAACATCTTAAAATTATAACGAGGACAAAGTGGCACAAAATATATTCATTCTCACGACTTCTTCATGATTGTAACCAGAATAGCAAATGGCAAAATGTATTAATTCTTATGATAAAAATGTAATGAGGACAGAGGATGGTGCAAGATGAATTAATTGCAGCAGCAACCCTATAATGGTGAGGCATGGTCTTATTTGAGTAACAGATTGCATTTCTGTAGAAAACAAGTATGATACAAAAACTTCTGTAGAGCTACTAGAACGATACTGGTCTGGTCATGTTGTTGTAGTATAGTAGTTCCCTTTTTAGAAACAGGATGGATAATACATGTTAAAGAATTTTGAATCTGGTCCAATGTTTAGTAATCCTAATACTTTACAATCTTGTTAAAGCTGAAACAAGAAAAAGTCTGTCTGAAGGGGAAAGAAAGTCTGTGATGATGGATGGCAGTAAAGAAAACACCAAACCTGGGGAAGAGGCAGTGAGTGGGATGGAAACAATGTCCAGTCTGACCTGATAAGTACTGCTGGCACCAGGAGGTACACTAGCTTGAGGGCAAAAATTCACTGTGGCTTGTGGCAGACTGGACTAGGATGTCCAAAGCCTCCTTTTACCAGGCATAAGCTGCCAGGTGGCCTTACACCCCAGTGAAAGGTAGGATTGGCCCAAGGGAAATAGTCACTGTGTCCATGGGCTCAGCGACTATTTTCCTAGCTCTCTAATGGAAGAAATGTTTGTGGTCACCAACATCTTCCTTCCACCCTCACAACATCCCCCGTCAGAGCAGCTCCCAGCAGCAGTCTTCAAGCAATTTCACAGCAAACAACCACCGCTCCTTGGGCACAGTGCAGCTCGAGGTGCATCTCTGCCATACCGCACAGCACCGTGGCAGATAGCTCTGACTTG